GCACTGCTTCCATCCCCTCCAATGTAAAAGTGTGAATTCGCGCGTGGCCCCTTTCCCGATGATGATGTCGTTTCAGCATCCCACACACACACTCACCATTGATCTATACGAATGCCTTGTTGCCGGTCCTGCAGCGTGAGCATCACTCGTTACTGTTTGTTCAACTCCCAAAAGCCGTTGTGTTTGTTTGCGTTGAACATCACCCCCCAACTCCTTTCATGGCTGTGCGACAGTCAAAAGTGCACAGTGCGGCCTGCTCCCTTCGCGCCAATCAAAGGGATACTCTTGACGCCTGCGTGTGTCTCGCGAATAGCCACCGTCGCCAAAGGAGGAAAGTCTTAATTCACAAAGCCACAATGATTATTATCCTTCCAACGGTTCACGGGGCAATGTTGCCCTGCGAATTGAAGCCCATTTGTGGCATTCTTTTCATTCGTCATCGTTGCAATCACACAACGGCACTCGTCGATACACGTGTTGGCAGTGCCTGCGTTGGGCAGATATCCAACCAGACCCACCGTACTTACGGGCGACGCGGAGAAGGAAGCGTCCACGTCCGCCCAATTGCGGAGGATGGAAGTGATCATCTGCAGCTCCTCCGTCAGGGGGACAGGAAACAGGCTGCTTTTCCCTTCATTGTGCCTCGCTCCCACAAGGTGCAACGCACCATCCGAGTACAGCAGGGCGTTGGCAATCGGCTTATTCAGAGCAGTGTCCATGTAAGCCGGTCCAACACAAAACACGCGCTTGCTGTCAGTCACCCAAACGTAGAGCGCATGGGCCTCACTCTCCCACCACGGGGAGCTCAATTTCCGAGCCTACAGCATGACGCTCTTTCCTCCAACGGTCGCAGTGACAATGGCTCCCACACGCAAGCTCATGTCCCAACTACCCGTTTGTGAATTGCCCCATACGCCCGCAATTGCCCCGGGTACTTCCACCCAAATTGTCCCCTTGTCACGTGACTCGTGCACTCTGCAGTACCGGCTCCCATAGCAATGAGTAATCACGAGAAGTTGTCCCTGCCCCCACTCGGCAATGAGAAGGTCAATGCAGTCCGCAGTGAGAATGCCCTTTGAAAAAACTCAGCTGCTGCCGCCGTCCGTCGAACAGATGATCATGGAGAAATCGTCTTTTTCGTCATTGTACGCAATCACGGGGACACAAGCGTGTCATTCACCAAAACACCTGAGCCGCCAAAAAACTTCAATCCATCCGCGCCGCGTTCGCGAGTCTCGGGAATGATCTGTGATCACAGCAATTTGGGTTCACACCAGTGGATCCGCTCGCTCCGTCTGCCGTCATTGGGCTGCGTGAATTCACCCACAACCAGTTGAACATCACGGTCTCTCAACGCCCAATTGAACCCACCATTCGTACCAAACTTTTGCTAGCTTCCCGCACGAAGAAACGCCCCATTGCCGCTCTCAATTGTCGTGGGATTGGACGCGGAGCCTACACCACCCTTTATATTCGCTGTGCTCAACACGATGTGTGTATTCCAGCCATTATTAAACTCACCAAAAAAAGGACAACAAATTACACGCAAAAAAGATGGAACACGCCACAATATCCGCATGAGAAAGCCCACTCGGTGCCCCATCGCTATCACTAAATATCGTGTAACCCCCATCAAAGAAAACCGTCACTCCACCAACACCCACAAGAGCGAGCGATCCAAACGAATCCCTCCTTCCACTTGCACCAGTCCCACCCTTCGGTTCCAAATGTGTTCGTCCCAAAACAAAAATAAAAACCACCCACGGCAGCCGCGCAATCACTTAATTCTCCCCCGTCGATGTGGCCGCAGCACCACCGGTGGCGCAGCACATCATCGTTACGACGAGGAGGAGGAGCAGCACCGCGAAAGCAAAAACACGCTGGGACATGTTGGGCCTCTGCGGCTCACTCTCTCTTCCTTCCCTCCTCCTTCCGCTGGATCCGGTCACGCGGCGACGGTTGTGTGTGCGGGGTGCCTTCACTGCAGCAACACGTGAGACCATATAAATATGTGTGTGTGTGGGCGGTGTGTGTGCTGTTGGTCCTTTCAGTGCCCTCGAATTTCACAGTAGCAATTCGCGCTTGTTATTAACTTACTTCATCGTGGGGAGCAACAGGCAACAGCGGCAGAAAGGCAACACAACAGCAGTACACACCTGAAACACTCACAGCGAACCACAACATCACCATCCCCGCAGCCATTATTCTACAGCACCCCTCAACAGCATACAAAAATTAGGGGAAAAAGTGAGCAGCCTCCCAATGGGGGACCGCAGACCACGGTCCTGCAAACAAAGCAAGCGACAGGGAGCCACATGTGCAGTGAGGGATACGAGAGTTGCACTGCAACGGCACGGCGGCGTGATACCCCGTTGGGAGCATCGATGCAGACCAGCACGTCACGTGCAAGAAGAGTTGCTTCTCCCGCTGAGCAAAAAGGAAAAACAGCCTCAGCGCCCCAATGATGAGAGGTCGCCTGCACCTCCTCGCAGCCCTTACAGGCTCTGCAGGCAAAAAGATGCAGATGACGCTCTGCTGCACGCATGACGGCCGTTGAATCCTTCACAATGGCAATCGCATCCTGTGGCACCACACGCCGCAGCGGATGCGCACAGCATCCGTCTCCCTCCCTCCTGTCCCTCTCCCTGAGAACTCATCGGTGGCCGTGGCACACTCACCTGCATGTCAGAAATCACTTGTTTTTCCTCTTCCCTCGCACATCGCAAAGCAGCACCGCCAAACGCATGTCATCTCCCTTTATTCTACGTATCCTCTTCCGTCAACTCTTCCGATACCTCCGTCCGCCCACCTCCGTTCATGTCGTCTCCCCTTCGGGTGCTCGCACCGCACTCACGGTCTTTTTGATTGTTCTCTTCTGGCCGCATTACGTTCCAAACAGCACCATTGGAGATAATTCCTCGCATGAATGAAGATTGTTGTCGCAAAGCGTTGTCGCCCTCCTAATCAAAGGGAAACAACAACGGATAAACGCCCGCAAAAAAAAAAACGCATGGCGGTCTTTCCCTACAAATGCGCGAACCCCAACTCATTCCATCCGTTTCCCCTCGCCAGTCATCCATGTCCACAGCTCCGCAAAAGCACGTTTTCACCCGTGATCCCGGAAAGAAATGCCGTTTCACTCACCACCATCACTTCCACACTGGTGCACAGTTGCCGCTCGCACGCACCCTCTTCCACAGAAAAAAAGCCAATCCACAAACAATAAAATAAAAAAGCAGCGCGATGCGTTGACAAATTCCTTCCGTTCCGTCTGTTTCGTGATGAAACCCCGTCCCCTTGCTTATGTATTTCTGTCTCCTCTTCTTGTCACCCACACAAATAAAATGCTCAAGCAAAGTCCTGAAAACCCTTTTATATGTCACCGACACCTGCTCTGCGCCCTTGTGTCGCGTCAATAAAAGACCGTCATTCACAAATGCACCCCGATGTTCAAAACAAACACCCGCACCCCGATAATCCTTTAACAGATTATTAAGAGCAAGCTCAGAAGCACGCACCACCAATACAGTCATAAAGCCCGTAATGAAAAGTCCATTCCAGCATGGACCTTTTTTTTTTTTTTTAGACTTCATCGCAAATGGCCATATACGAATTGAACTTGTCCAAACAAAACATTCCTCTGTGACAAATCCATTATCGTCATGAATCCTTCATGAAACCTCGCCGCACTGGTTAAACTTTCATCACTCTATCGGCCACGGCAAGCAAGAACAGAAACAGCCACATAAGGACAATAATCTGGTGAAGCATGCCTTTGGCATTGTAGACGGATAATCGCACAGAAAAAATACCCATCCAAAAGGAAACTGTACACAATGCGGCTCCTGCACTCTCTAATAAACACCTCACGAAATGAAAATTTGTGTCGCGATTTCAGAGCACTGAAGTACCAAAAAAAAAAAAAAAATGAATTGAAGGCAACAGTCGAGCACAAGTTCTACTGAGTCTTTCTCCGCAGGGAGAAAGGGCACCAAGCACACTGCGCTTGACATTCACTCACAATAACACACCAATAAATAAACCAAGGGCAGTGTGGAAATGGCTTTATTCCATTCAGCAGCCCCAGCGGATGATGTAATACAAAAGGGGCCCAACGTAACGATGGTCCCCAAAATGGCACCAAACAAAGTCGTGCTTCCATTTCAGGGTGGGAATTAAGGAATTAGCTGCAAGTGCAGAAACCGTCTTCTCCACCCAGCACAGGACGCTGAGAAACTAGCCAACAGGCCCAGAAAGAACAAAATGCAGCAATTCGCTCCCAATATTCCGGTAATCTTTTCTCACGCCGGGTTATCGTCGCGGCCAACAAGTCCAGTTTGCGCGGTCCGCCTTTGTGAATTCACAAGTGTCATCATGATGAACAACCCACAAACATACCAAGGCAATCCATACGTGATGTCCTCAAACACCCTTGCAAAACCTTCCAACACCTTCTGCTCCGTGATGCAGATCGTTTCTGGAAGTAAAACCACTCGTGGTAAAGAAGCACATCCCTCGTCAAAGGCACATCGCCCATCACCCGCGATGCTTGCGCCTCCAACGCATTTCGCTCAGCCACCGAGAAGAAGAAATGATCAAAAGCAACAGTAGTAATTGTGTGCATCTCACACAGGTTAGCGTATCTGTCATACACTTTCAGACATTCAAAGGCACTTTTGTCCGTTCATTCACTGCATCTTGAAAACAAATAAACCATGTAAAAAGTAAAATCTCTCAAACATTTAACAATAAATTTCCAAAGTTTCAAAAAAAAAACAAAGAGCATCTCGGAAAGAAAAAAGAGGCATCGCGTTTCAATGTAATACTGAAAGCAAGCAATGGAAAAAGTATGCGTTTGTTTTTATTTGTGCAGGAGAGGGTGTGGCAACCAAAAAAAAAAATTTATCAAAATAAAAGCAATACTTCAATGGCAATAAAAAAAGACAATTACATAAATGTTCTTATATGTATAAAACACAAAACATGTCTGTATCAGAGCTTTACTTATTGAGCCCTCTCACAAAATTCTTGAGGCCACTTCGCAAGGAATTTGCAGCCTTTTGAACGAGGCCTGAAGAATCTCCACTGGCTCCCTGAAAAGGGTAAGCGTATGGAAAAAGTGTCACGGCGCAGTTTTGCACCCTTAGTATTTCTCTCTCCCGAAGAAACCTTTGAACACTGGTTGCGTCAAAACGGTCATGGTCAAACTCAATGACGGCAATTCGTTCATTGTCCTGAATGACATTTCCTTCCTCCTCTGTTATGGGAGGCGGCTGCTCAAAGGTCACTTGACTCACTGCAGTTACAAATTCCTTGTGGGATGCAACCTCGTCCTCCGCCAGAGATATGCAAAAGCCCAATGCACAACTTGAATGACGTGAAAGTTGATCAGACGGCAGTGTCAGTGAAAAAATCTCTTCCAATGCCCGTTGTACTGCCCCCGCCAAATCGGCAGAAGAGACAGATAGAGGAACACCCAACGCTACTAGTGCACAGCTCCAATACTGGAGTGGTACAGGACGCGTAAGAAAGGCCTGGTTCATCGAAGGAAAGTGTATATCCTTGTTTCTCCCTAATAACAGCTCAAGGTTCCTAAATTTGCTTCGATCTTCAAACACATTTTCAAAACGTCGCTGGGTTGCTATCACCATGTTAGACGCCGTGGACCGCAAACCACAAATGTTTCGCAACAGATTGCTGTGCATTGCAGCAGAACTTGTATACAACTGTGCGACAATATCTCCATTATACACATATAGTTCAGATAGGGCTCGGCCAACCGCTACAGGAGATAATGACGGATTACGGGCCTCAAACCAGCTTTTTACAAACGGTGGAGAAATTGTCTTCTTGTTTCCTCCCATGGAAAGGGAAGAAAGTCCGCTCTGACTGAGGTCCTCCTGTCCCTCTAGTGGGGGCAAAGGCCTTTGATCCACGAATTGACTAAATTCGATTCCAATCGAATTTAGCATCGATATGGACGCCTGAAAGCATGTGAAAAAGCATCCAAGGTTTGTCCTGTCTAATGAATCCGCGCAATTCACACGCAAGAAACGTCGTTGACAGTTCCTCCGCGTGATACGTCCATCCCGCCGCAACAGGCCCACTGTGGCAACAGCATCGTCCTTTTGTGGAGCCAAAAACTCAAAGGCCGATTCCCAAAAAATCTTGGTGGCCACATCAACGCCATAA